GCACAGTTCACATCTCTGCCAAGTCAACCCCTGCTGAATGCTAACGCAATACCCTTAGAAGGAATACTTTGGGGCTCCAAGCGTTCCGTTTCACATCCATCAAGGGGGGAAACCCAGAGTATGTCCAAGGCAGCTTTGGTGAGCCCATATCGGGCTCTCTCCATCACTGCTCTCAGCAAAGCACTGTTACCTAAGCGCTTGGTAAGCGGATCTGCTATCATCCACGTACCCGGTAACCAGTGGATGCTCGTTTTGAGCAACTCAGCTAGCTCTCTTAGCCATGACAGCAACATCCAGCTGTGCCCTTCTGCACAACCCAGCTGCGCCAGACCGCCTATGAAACAAGTCATACAAAGCCCTGGCATCAGTCACTGCCGCGGAATCTTGTTCATCACGAACTCGGACCACAGCAATCGTCTCATCATTGCCGTACCTCGTGCCATCATTGACGCTGGTCCCGGGGATCGCCACCTCGCAGAAGAGAGCCTTTGTCCACTCGAGCTCGGCCAGGCCATCGTCCATAGCCAAAGCTTCTGATCCCAACGAAGACTTCACTGCACGGCGAAGTCGGTGGGACTTCCAGCTGTTGATGCTCAGCGCTGCCACCTTGCCAGTCATGATGTCCCGGTCAGCAAACGCAACCAGAAAGCCACCTTGGCTTTTGTCTCCTTCAAGGTTGCCAACGGATGCATCTGAAAAGACCATCCAAATGCCTTGCTCCAACGGAATCGGAAGCACTCTCAACCGCACATCTGCTGTACGTTTCAGTTCCTGGATCGTCTTGTTGACCAGCTTCAGCTGCCGAACCTTCGGGCCCTCCTTTCCCCATGCCATTGCCAGGGCACAGGCTGCAGCTACGTCCGGCCTCGCCTCTCGGCCGATCCATAATAGCGATCCGCCTGCTCCTCGGAGCAAAGTTGTCTCTCGCTCGTCAAGAGCACGGTCCTCGTCTTTGATCTTGTCCCGGGGGATCACCACTGGCCGCAGCTTCTCGTTGATGTACCGCTCCATGGAGATCTGAATCTCATAGTCCTCCAGCTGGTACACGGTTCTGCCGAGGTACTCACCCGAACCCTTGTATATGGTTCGCCATTTGGCGAATCGAAAGCGACCACGCAGCTTTTCCATCAAATCACGGTGTCGGAGATTTCCTCCCTGGAGAAAATCATCCACATCTAGGAGCACCAGCCCAGCGCAGCCTCGCCTTCCAGCTTCCGCACTCCGCTTGACTGCTTGGTCTTCTTCAGCGCTCTGTCTTCCAGCTTGGTCTTCTTCGGCGCTTTGTCTTCCAGCTCGGTCTTCTTCAGCATTGAATGGGAGCACATATAAGCAAGGGTCGAACGTGGATTCTTGGTATCCAAGTTCCTTCAACACGCGACGCACGGTTTTGCGCCACATGGCGGGCGCGTTGACGAGTCCATAAACCGCTGTAAGGACTCTGATGATATGGTCCTTGCCCTTTCCGGGGATGCCGCTCGGAGGCATCGTTGCGAAGAGCGGTCCTTGCTCTCTCTCGTGTTGGTCTGACTGACCAAAGGCACTGCTGACATCCATGATCACGAGCTCATAGCGCACGCTGCTCAAGATTTGGAAGGCAAGGTACACAGTCGGGGTCGCAGGTGTCGGTGCATACCGCTCCAGCTCCTGAGCATCAGGATCGCGATGCCCAAGTAGAATCCACCGCGCCTTGGCTTTCCAAGTTTGCCCGAGCTCCTGCTGCTTCTTGGTCAGAATGAAGCGCGAGGGCATGATGCGGTGGCTGAAGGACTCCCTGATCTTCTTGATCTCCTCGGGGTCCGTCACAAAGCTAATTGCACTCGATCCTTCCAAGTTCTGGATCTCCGTGAGCTTCGCCTCGTCGAACATCTTGCGCTCCTGCTCGCTCAGGGTGCGCTCTTGAATCTCCTTTCCGGACTTCTTCGTGAGGCAGATCCATCCAGAGTGCAGCTCGGAGTACGTGTAGAAGACGTCCGCCTTGACCAACTTGCCAAAAGCCTGCAAGTCCCTAGCATTTGCAATCACTGGGAACTTCCTCTTGTCTCCCCAGGGCGTGACACAATCTGCCACCCAAATGCCGCCGATCTTTGACTTTGGTTGCGGTGCTCCGGGGTGCCCAGAGCCGTCATGACCTCTCTTCAGGCCACGGTCGAAAAGCCCCCGGTCTTCGCCAATGTCGTCACCACGGTGACCTGGTTCAGAGGCAGGCACTCCTGGATCTGGATGTCCAGGTCAAGGTCGATAGAAGAGCGTAGTCTCGATGCTCTTGACTCCTGTCGGCAGCAGTCGGCTCAGCTCTCTCGGTCGCTCGTCGCCGGTGAACTCCTCGTCTGCCACAACCTTGCCAGTGTTGAGGTCCACGGTTCGCCGCCGAACAACATCGGACCACATCGGTCCCTTGCTGCTTGACACTCTGAACCTGTCGGCGTTGTTGTCATAGCGAGTCCACTTCTTTGTCTCCACTGCTTGTGGCCAATGTCCGCGAGCTTCCAGTGGAACCACTGGTGTCGCGAGCGTCCAGTGGAACCACTGGTGTCGGTGCTGCTGACGACGCGGACGGTTCATGCCCTGCTTGTTGTTCAGGTGGCGCTGTCTGGCCGAGACTGTAGTGGACCTTGCTCTCTGGCCCCAGTAACTGTTGTCCTCTTTGCATGTACTAGTGGTTCATGTACAAACCGCCTCCCATGTGTTTTTGCTGATTCGCTCGGAACTGCTCCGTCGCTTTGCGGTGCCTGAGTCTGAACTGCGTCCGGCGAGTAGCCCTCCAAGTCTGAAGGCAGATCACCTGTTCCATCTCCGGCTCCTCCTGGTGGTGCTGGCGATTCGCTTGGAACTGCTCGGTCGCTCTGTGGTGGCAACAGGCCGGCTGGTGGATCTTCCGATCCATCAAGGGGGGATCTGCCGAGATCACCTTCATCGGCGTTCTCCTGGCTCACGTCCACGAACCCAAGTTTCTCGCTGTCAAATCTCAAGCGCTCCTTGGCCATGAGCAGGTCCCGTGGTATAACCTCAAGTCCTTGAACCTCAAGCGGCCCCATCTCGAAGACTTGCGAAGCATTACACTTCCACAATTCTCCACGCCTTGAGACCCACACTGTGGAACCACGTTGTAGGATGACGTAACACGGTCCAACTTTTGAAAGGGCGCCGCGGCGGCCCTGCCGCCACACGACCACAGGTTGCCCTTCTGAAAAGACCTTGGTCTCCAGCTGCCGCCTTGGTCTGGCCCGGCTTGCTCGTTGAACTCGCTCCTTGGCGTCGAGCTCCATTAGTGCTTTCCTTGCTGCTTGTCGAAGCTCTGCTGCTCTTGTCCAGGCCTTGTCCTGCGTCACGGACAGCTCGTAGTGCTTGTCGTCGCTGGCGAGGTCCAAAGCCACACGAGGTTGACGGCCGAGAACCCGTTGTGCTGGGGTGAAGCCTGACCTGTTGACGCTCGTCTGGAGAGCCCAGGATGACTCAAAAACTAACAGCTCCACCTCGTCCATATCGCGGGGCTGGGCTATCTCGCGGCTCTTGTAGTAGACCTTCTTGAAAAGATCGCCCCGCCTTTCGCACACCCCATTCTCCCAGGATGCCTCTTGGTCACACACTATCGGCTGGATACACATCCGCTCGATCCCGCTCTGGAAGTCACTGCCAGTGAATTCCGTGCCCATGTCGTACAACAGGAAGTCGGGCGGTCCAAACGTTCTCACCCAAAGTCTTTCGAAGGCCTTAAGGGTGAGCTTTGCCGAGCGGCGAAGTGGATCAATCAAGCCGAAGGTGGAGTACAGCGCGCCGAGGCATGTCACGTTTAACACCGGATGTTCAGTCTTGTTATCCAGGCCGTGGATAAAGAGCACGTCGATCCCGATGACCACGTTGAAGTCGTAGCATCTCGGGGTAGCCGCGGGCAACCTTGTAGGTGGTCTCTGTTCCAGGTCGCACCCCGCACATCGAAACTCTCGCTGCACGTATTGGATGATGTCGTTCCGGCAGCCTGCTGCCTTAAGCAGACGGACGAACTCGGCCCGACCAGGGTGTCCCAAGTTGACATGTGATCGCAGTACGGCCCGCTGCTCTTGCACACTGAGGTCATGACCCTCGGCCAGCACCAAGGTCTCGGGCTTGTCCCAGGCGTAAAAGACCATGGCAGAGTTGGCCTCGAAAACTTTCGTGTCCACCGGACCCTGGCTTTCTTTCTTGCGCCACTTCCACTCGTCATCTTCCCTGACTGCTGTCCAGCGCAAGGTGCGATGTCCGGGGCCAATCGGCCGGATAGGCACGTTCCGCGGGTCCAGGCAGAGCATGACCAAGTAACCCTGTTCTTCCATCCACTTGGCGCGCTTGCCTTGGCCGCGGAGTTCGAAACTTTCATCTCGAAGCTTGTCCGGAGGTGGTAGCTGAGGTGGCCGAAGGGGAACTTGTCCAGGTCGGCCGTTCTCCATGTAGACGTCGGCATAGAGATTTACATGTTCTTCTTCGCAGGTGGCCCAATAACTCTCATCGTCCTTGCCGCCGCTAAGGCCATCAAGGCTTTTGAGCAGGTCCTTCTTGACATTTCGACAGAGAGTCACTTCGATGGGGTCGTGCCGGACATCGTCGAGCTCATCCACGAAGTCCTGGTGGAATTCCTTTACCACAAAGACCGTGACCTCCTCTGTGCCGAGGAAGTAGTCGGAGGGGTGCTTCCGCGCTATGTCCAGGACATTGACCTCACCCTCATCGATGTTGAAAATCACCCGGGCTGACAGAGGCGATTTGACCATGGCATTCTTCACTGCTGGAATCTTGGTCCCAGTGAAGCTCCAGACCATGGTCGCCCATGCTCTCGTACGACAAGCCAATCTCGTCGATCACCTCCTGCTCGCCTAAGCCGCGGAGGGATTCCCACTCTCCATCCATGAGTGCGTCCTGTCCGGGTTGTAACCACCAGACCGAAGAAACGCCCCCATCACATCGTCCCATTCGGACATCAAGGTCTGCAGGCCATGCGGTCCGGCAACTTGTGTGGTCGAAGGGCCTCCTGCTGGCAATTCAGGCAGAGTTTGACCTCGAAAGCAGTCATGATGTCGTTGAGGTCCAGGCCGCTCCAGGTGAAATGGCAGTCGGGGTCGCCCCGAGCACAAAGCCATAGATATGCCTTCCGAGTCTCGTGCCAGTTGAGCGTCAGCTCCCCGATCCGACACAGAGCGCAAGACCTGGTCGGAGCAGATCCCGGCATGAGCACGTCCAAGGTGGCTTGGGCCAAGTCTCGGTCGTACTCCCAGTCTCCCGCCAACGTTGGCGGTGGGAAAGCTTGGCTGTCCGGAGTCCCGATGCTGAACTCGTCCACGTCCATGCCCGTCCTGGCTTGCCGCCCTCCGGGAGGATGTTGAGGAGGATGCCTGGGGATCTCCGTGGCAGTTGGTGGCGCCATCGGTCCTTGGGAGCTCTGGCCCGCCGCTGCTGCCGCCGATCTTCTTGGGGAGCTCGGTGTTGTGCTTGTTGTCGGTCGCGCCGTGCACCGTTGTACTCGGTGTCCTTCTGGTCGTTGGGGGCGTCGACGTCCGGGCCGGCCTCGCAGACGAAGCTGCCGCTGCGGTCGCTGTAGGCGTCGTCGAGCTCATCCCGGTACTCTTGGCCGCCTTCTTGGCTGCTTTCTCCTCCTTGATGCTCTGGAGAGTCTTGTAGTTCGGGGCCTGGCGCACCAACACTGTGTTCCACTCAGTCACGCGGTCTGGCGTCAGCTTCGGGATCTGCTCGATCGCCCCGCACTCCGAACACTTGGTCCAGGCCCAATCCCGGTTGCACGGGTGCCAAATACTGGCTTCTGCCGATGTGCTGCACCATTGGCCGGTGCGTCCCAGCTTCGTCTCGAAACACTGGGATCGTCGGGCCCTTGGCTGAGGCTGATTTCCTCGAAGCTTCCACGAGCTCGGCCTCCTTCTGCTGCATGTCCAGCATGCTTCTCCAGGCGCTCCCTCCGAGCAGCCAAGCGCCGGACGTCCCGAAGCTCCGGCTGCTGGACCACCAGCAACAACGAGTTGATGGCTTGCATCCAGCCCGCCAATCGCAAGCGCAAGAAGAATCGCCTCCAGCGATAAGCGCATGTCGAAGGCATCGAGGTATCGAATTGGTTTGGGAGGGGGTCTCTCAGACCAAACTTGTGATCTCCCAAAGCTTGCGGTATTTGGCATAGAAAATCCTTTACCAAACTCAGTGATGCTCACCTCGACATGCCCTGCATCTCGCCTATGCATCCGCTGCGCCACTCCCAGACTCGTATGGAACATGTTCAGCCCTACCATGTCGATAACACTGCCCATGTCTGTCAGAAGATACGCCGGAAGCAAGCATGGAACTGGACCAGGAACAATCTGAACACGGAGAAGCCCTGAGCAGCCGCCCATTCCAATTGGAATGTATGCGATTGGTGTTTTCTCTTCAGAGCCGCACACACCCCTGACCATGCCACCATCCTCATTTGTATGTTTGACCCTCATGCCGTAGGTGCCCATCAGGTGTTGGTCCAGCTTTTCCAGCGTTGCCTGCCCAACAACCCATGTTGTGCCGCTGTGTCCACCAACGCCCGCCCCGGAATTTCAATTGCCGTGGCAAAGTTGTAAGAAAGCAAGTCCCAGGACAAAGTTGGTATTGGCGGTTGGCTCGTGGAGCCGGCAAAGAAGCATGAGTGGTCAAGCTGGCTTTCGGACATGTATTGCTCCGCACTCGGATCGCTCAGGGTCATGTAGCCTGCATGCTAGGAGTCGAAGGCTCCACAAAGAACATCGCCGCCGTCGCTCTGGCCGCTAGGCAGTCCAGCTCCTCCGCTCTGCGGTCTGCTCTGCTGCCGTGCTTTCAGCGGGCAATTCCTTGACCAATGGCCAATCTGCCTACACGCATGGCACCTTGACTTGGCTTTGAGCTCCTCCAAGGTCACGCGGGGTCGCCGGTCGCCACCTTTCTCGAAGCCACGCCCGATCCGGGTGTCCAGCGCCCTGCGGCGGTCCATGTAGGAGCCGTAGACGCCAAAGGTGCCTGGTTGGTGGCGCTGGTCTTTGTGCCCTTTTCCTTGGCCAAAGCTCTTGCCCTTTGGCCCTTTTCCAAACTTGCCCTTCTGCTTCCCTTTGCCTTTTCCTTTTGCACGGTCGCGAGTCTCATAGAAAACCCAGGTCAGGTAGTCATCCATGAACTCGATCGCCTCGGTCTCCTCCAAGGCCTCGGGCGCCTCATTGTCGAGGACCATGGAGATCGAGCCAGTGCCGTGGTCATATGTCCTCGAAGAGGTCCAGGCCACCGTAGTCACCGTCGTCCTCGCCGTGGCCCTCGCCAAAGTAGACGGCTTGCTCGTCGTCGTCGGCCCAGTACGACCGTGTCGGGGTTTCATCGAGGG